TCAAAATCAATACATCCACTAAATGTCCAGAGTTTCAGAAATGATAACGGGTCAGAAAATAAATAAATATTTACTGGCGCTTATGATCCTAATGTAGAAATTATAGAACCAAAAGAAAAAGTAGGTTGTAGTTGAACCGGTCTGGTTCTGGTTAGCATTAGCGGATCTGGCAACTAACAGAAAGGAACGAGACGGGCGAGCTCATGTGCGCCATCCATTGGCCAGGAGGAGTAGATATCACTTAAATAGAGACACTGATAAACAGTCTGGCTGGAAATCAGCCCCTTCAGCAAAAGCATTGTACTGAGCGCTTACAAAGCTGCGTCGGGATGGACACTGCCACTCCGTAAAGACTGAAGATACAGGAGGAATTTTAATAGTGAGCTGCATCTTCCACAGCATGTCTGAAGTTTATTCTGGCTGGAGAGTAGAGTGAATGTTCACCGATTGTCATTTGAGCTTCTAACCAAATGATTGCACTAGGAAAGGTTGGCAGTCTTGTAAATCCCAGAGATTAGGTAAAAATCTGGATCCTGAAGAAAAAAATGGATCCAATCCAACTTTATTTATAAAGTGCTGTACAGCCAAACAACATACCAACATTACACAGGATAAAAAGAAAACAAAAAAGGGGGAAATTCAAAATCTGAACTACAAAATCTATAATAAAATAAAAATAAAAGTTATGTAAAATAATGTATCACAGATTAAAATCAACATCTTATACAGTTTAGAAAGCCATGGCAAAGATATGAGTTTTTAAGAGCGATTAAAAATCAGATAAATTTAATTTGCAATGGAAGAGGTCATCCACACACCATCGCCCCTAAGCTTCCGTTTCGTTTTTAGCACCTGAACGGGAGGGTGCATGAAGGTGCAGCAACTCACAAAGATCAGATGGAGCAAGACCATGGAGAGACTTAAAAACAAATGAAAGAACTTGAATGAATCCTAAAATGTACAGGGAGCCATTAGCCTAGTAAACTAGCCCCACCCGCCAGCGGCCAAAATCTTTTTTGCCTGCGAGTGGTCTAGCGTCGATCAATACCCCAGGCCCTAGAACTGGCGAGCCAATTACAACGCAGAGATGTGTTTTGAATTTCTGGATGCAAAGCAGGCGGGGGTTTTAAGAGCGGGACGACAAAGCTGTGCGACGGTGGAGAAAGCACAACAAGGAAGATGGCAGCATCTATTGAATAGTTCTCATTTGACTTTGCTTTGGAATCAGTTTTGGAAGGATTAGACTTAGGGTTTTCATTGAAACTTGAGCAGGAAGAGGCTGTTTGTTTACAATCCTCCATCCGCTTTCTGTCCCTTTTTTGTCACAGTCAGTTGCGCTCATTGGTCAGAGCGTTGGCCAATAGGCACAGACATGGTTTGAAAGACAACATGTTGTTCTCATCAACAATCTTCCGATGTCTCATTC